AGAGGATGCCGAGGATAAAGTTAGGTGGAAACAGATGATTCGCTGTGGCGACCCCTAACGGGAACCGCCGAAAGAAGAAGAAGAAGAAGACTGACATGTTATAGTCCATGTGGGCCAGTAGGCTACAACAAAAAATTATTTTCACTGGTAATTAATCTGCAGATTATTTTCTGAATTTTGTTTGAACTCATTAAAATGCCACCACTGTTTCTCAGAGCACAAGGCCATCAACCAGACCAGTTTCAATTTACTGTCATATACGACAAAGGAAAGAGTAAATCCTTACAGTGCAGAAGCTGGAGTCAGTGAATGTTTGGCATATCTACCTGAAAAATGACTGAAGCAATTAGTTTTCCAGAACACTTACTCATGAACAGCTACCACGTTCACCTAAAAGTGACCATTGTTACACTCAGATCAATACTTTCATTGATTTTAGACCCCTGTTTTTTTTCTGAACACAGACACAACACAGACAGCTGGGCCTGAAAAGTCTGAATATACAGTAAGTGGATTGTTGCTATTGATTTAATAAGGAGAAATGGCAGCACTCTAAAACATTGGTTCCCAGTCTTTTTGCCATAACACCCCTTAAAATGATTTATATTGATATTGCATTGTACGCAGTTCAGATTCTTACATTTAAATGCAGAGATGATATTATCAGGTCTGGCACAAGAAAAAAAAGCAAAGATATAATGTATTTATATATATCAGTCACATATATTATTATGGAGTGTCTGATGGCCTGATGGTAGTTTGGGCTCATTGCTGCTTGCCTGCAAATTCAATGGATTTATTCCTGGCCTGTCTTTGTCTAGATGATCACATGTCAAGTAAAGATTAAAAACATAAAAAATAAACTTAAAAAACATGCATAAATACACTGATAAGCTCACTAAGTATATTAAAATTTAGAACTAACAGTGCAAGTGTTTGTATTGAATGTTGTTTTTGTTCACTTAAATAAAAATGGTTGGTGTGTGTGCATAGGTCAGCAGAGTGACAGGTTTACTCTGAGCCGGAATATAACACAACAAACAGCACTGACTCTACAGACAATGCAACTGTTGTGAGAGTCAGATGACTAAAACATGTGGTTACTTGATTTTCCAGTAGACATGTCTTTATTCAAAGGATTGCTAAATCACTGTCAGACTGTTGTAGTGGCAGTCCACAGACCTGGGATGGGGGGGGGCACAGGTTATCAGAGCTGAATACACACTGGGAGTTCACATGCAGGTGAAGTGCTCTTATCATCTGTGTTATCCATTGCTGTATACACTAAAGCTACTGGTCAACCACCTCTGCTCCTGATAAAAGCACTCCACAGAAGCCTGCCTACCTCCATTGTCTGTCTTTTCTATTACACACATAAAAGCATACTGGCTCATTTCCGGCATGGCTCAATCCATACAGCACCTCAAAAAAATGTACCAAAGAAGAACAGGGGGAACGGGAAGGAAATAAGGCTTCATTCCACTTACAGCCAACAAAACACTCATCAGGTTTACAGTCTACCTAGTAAAAGGCCATAAACACTGAGCTGCTATTGATATGATGTAGGAGTTAAAGGAAATGTGTGTCAAGCTGTTCTCTGCAGCCAGGCGCACTGGTTAATGGAAGGTTTCATAGATTGTATTCCTTCACACACTCACTTGTACATCTGTGAAATATTCCCATTGGTGGTAATAAAGTAATGGCATAAATGGCCACTCTCACTTACTAATAATTACATGATTACAGTTAGATTTTTTTTGGAAGGAAGTGAAAAGTAGCAGCTAGTAAATGATGACTATAGTGGCAACCCAGAGCTGAGGGACTGTTTGTGAAGGAAGCAAATGGAATCTCAGTCCATCCCTGCTCCTGTTTCTGTTTATATAATACTCTGAAGGCAAAGCTGCCAGTTTAAAACAAATTGATGCCACCACAGAGAAACTACCCCAGGTAATAGACAACACCTGAGCACGCTCCACAGACCTGGTAAGAGAGGACTCAGACATTCTAACATACTGTAACTGGCATACAGGAGAGAAGATGTAGCGTTAGAACAGAAATATCTACTACCATCAAATATAGAAAAACCAGGAAAGTTCTGGTTTGCCTAAAAGAAATTATAATCATAATCAACCATCATCTCCTTTAACTCAGCCCACAATAATAAAGAAAACAGAATATGACTTAAACTTTCTTCACTGCCAGATTCTGTAAACCAGGCTTCAACAAACACATCATGTTTCCAATTAACCTCCAGTTAAATCACACACCCATGTCGCCTGCTGCTGATGTGCCGCCTTCATTGTGCAGCCAGTGGAGACAAGAAGTTAAAGTTAAGGCTGGCATTATGCAGTATTTTTTATATTGTCATCAATTCTCTTGAAAAGATCAAAACCAGCAATCTCTTTAGTATGACTCTGAATATTTCCTGACTTACCGACCCTGTCTGTGGTGCTACTGAATGAATATAAAAATGGTTAAAATGGCTCACATGTTATACATGTATATGGTTTTAATTTTAAAATAAAAAAATAAATAAATATAAAAGTAATTTCCTATAACATCTGGTTACTGTAAAAGAGGAGGAAACATATAGTATTAGTACATATTTTGTACACTAAGGAGATAAAATAAACTACTACTGTTCATAGTAATGAAGGAATGTGTTGCACAGTACTTGTTAAATGGGCTTTTTTGGATAATAAATACCTATAATATCAGAACATTTATCATTTACTAAATTACTGTTAACAATGCTACTAACATACTAGACTAGCCTGGAAATTTTTTTAATGTTTATGCTGCATTTGCGTAAAAAGCAGTGATGCAGATGATTCCTGAAGCCTGACTCTAGATGGTAATTGGCCGTTAATGATTATGCTGAATGATCTTACTGTTGAACTACTTCTGTAATAGAACTGGTTGCATCAGCGTAAAAAAATGTGTCCAACTTCTTTAGGTTGTGCTTCTTGACAAGATCTCAGCCTAATATCTGCATAGCTGAGTGCAGTCCTAGGAACAGCTAAGATACTGTGCAGGACCCTCAAGCTCCCAGGCTTCTGGTAGAGGACCTGAGCCTGAAGGAAGGAATAAAGGACCGCCCCAAAGTGGGGCAAGTGGGGAATACACACACACACATATATATATCAAGGCAGCAAGGAGAGAATGAGGAATATTTTATAAAAACAAAAAATCCCCTACTTGCCCCTCTTCAGGGCAGTCTTATTTCTTCCTTCAAGCTCGGGTCCTCTACCAGAGGCCTGGGAGCTTGAGGGTCCTGCGCAGTATCTTAGCTGTTCCTAGGACTGCACTCTTCTGGACAGAGATCTCAGATGTTGTTCCTGGGATCTGTTGGAGCCACTCTCCCAGTTTGGGGGTCACAGCCCCCAATGTTCCTATTACCACGGGGACCACTTGTGCCTTCACCTTCCACATCTTTTCTAGCTCTTCTTTCAGTCCTTGGTATTTCTCAAGCTTCTCGTGTTCTTTCTTCCTGATGTTCTTGTCGCTTGGGATTGCTACATCTATCACTACAGCCTTCTTCTTCTGTTTGTCCACCACTACTATGTCCGGTTGGTTGGCCATTACCAGTTTGTCAGTTTGTATCTGGAAGTCCCACAGGATCTTAGCTTGGTCATTCTCAACCACAGCAGCTAACCCCCCGGAGACAGTCAGAGACACATAGTCATGACAGTCTCATAAACTGTGGTGTGTCTGGCAAATCTGGCCAGTTAGCTTTGTACTGACAGTACAGCTGCTTGTGTCACACAATTAGTAGGAGAAGTAGTACTTATCGTGACTGACACAAACAACCTACAGCTATCGAAACTACACATAATCAAAGAAAAGTCATGCAACAGTTCTGACCACACTGCTTGACTGACACAAGGTCTGTAATGCCACAGCCATGAGCACTGGTTCATATATATGAACCTTTCTTATCTAATTCTGGTGGTCCGATTTAGCGGCACTTGGATATCATAAGGTAAATCTAGCAGTACTTAAAAATAAAGGCAGATACTCACGTTAGGACATAATTGACACTGACGATGCAATGAGGTCGGGATGAGCGGCTGTTGTGTACAATGGTTGCGTAACTCTGAATCCACACCCAGCCACCATGCTTGGCCAAGAAACGGTAATACTTAGTGGTGACCTGACCCTTCACCAGCACTATCAGGGCCAAAGGAGGGGAAAGAAATAACAGCCATATTATTGTGGGGAAAATGACAGCAAAAGGTGTTACATTACAAGATTCAAATCAAATAAATCTGATACTGGAAATTGGTGCTGAATGTTAACACAAAACATAATATAACACTATAACATAATATATTGTACAATCAACATTGGAAAAAAATATAAAGCATAGCCTGATGTACTCTGTCTGTACAGGAATTGTATATGTGTGGACTTGCTGTATATTGTGAGGACCGGTTTGAGTTTTATATCATGGGTATGAGGATATTTTGGGACAGTGAGGACAGTTTTCCCAGTCCTCACTTTCTGTCACCTTCAAAGGGGCTGAGTGAGGGTTAAGACTTGGTTTTAGGGTTAGGTGTTAGTGTCAGGTTTAGGTTAGGGGAAGGGCTGGGGTTAGGCATTTATCAAAGTTAGAGTAAAGGGCTAGGGAATGCATTGTATCAGGGACTGTCCACACAGAGGTAGCTGTACAAACGTGTGTGTTTGTGCAGAGAATTTGAAGGAAGCTAAAACAAACCTAACTCACACAAGTGATGAGCACATCGCAGGTGGAAGGTGTCACAGCTGTGGACATGGTGATAGAGAGTCTTCTCTATAAGATCTTGAGGCTCGTAACCCGTCAGTTCTGCAACCCTGAGGGACATGTAGTCACACACACACACACACATTCTCAAGGGTCATAAAGCCTTGCCACATTTACACATACTCACGTATAACCCCCCCAACAAAATATATAACAAGCAAATACAACCAAACAAATATATACTAGACATGTAGTGTATACAGACATGTCCACTGTCTGCAGGCGAGTACAGCACACTGTGACATTCAGAACATACCGTGAGTCAAGGAAGATGAGCTTCATGTCCAAGCTGGCTCTGAACATGAACATGTTGCTGTGCAGTTTGATCTCAGTGACTGCGCTGGGCGGCAGTGAGTGACCAACAGCCACCAGCCCAACGTTCTGGTAGCAGCCATCAAATGGAGACATGTCCAGGCTGTACTGACGGATCTTCAGGTAGCCACTGCAGTGGATCACCTGAGCCAAGCAGTCAAAGACGGATAAAGAAAGTATAACTATCGATCCATGCATGGTCCAGTAGCCCTTTAACTCATGTTATGGGATTGGGAGGGGTGCAGCAACCTGAAGGAGTTTGGTCTCAAACACACAATATTTGTGCTGTCTGGCCGATTGTGTCACTCAGTCCAAAATGTTCTACTTGTGAGCTTTGGGTAGACCTTTTTTTTGTCTTGGCTTATTCTTCAAGATGCCACCTCTATCTGAGCAATTGTGAGGCTTCAAACTAACTTTACCACTTCAGCCTTGTCAGTCTGACATGTGCACCCAGAGCAACATACTGACCAGACTAACAGCCTAATATTCCTATAGATAGTCATGGTCTTCAGAGAGTAAAGCCTAATGATTTTGGTGACCCTCTGACATTTCATCTAGTGACACCATTATGGAAAAAATATTCTTTCAGATAACAAATATCAAAATCCAAAAACTCTGTTGCCATGAAATTTATTTAACACATTTATCCCCCTTAGAGAATGTTCCCGTTCCATTGTGCACACTCCACAATCCTTTTTATAGCACGGCCATCAACACAAAATTTGAACTTTGCACACAAGATTTCATGTAATTTTAAAAGAAGTTTGCCATGGAAATTTCTGAGCAGATTAAAATTGGCTAAAGATAAACTCTGTGGATTCTGACTATCCCTCAATCTTTTCTCATCTACTAGCCTCAACACTTTAAGTATGGTTTATGCTGGTTTACTGTTTACGTGCCCTTTGCATGGGGATATGTACAGTACATGCACATTGACAGCCGATGTACCAGAGTCAAATTCCTTGTGTGTTCGACACACCTGGCCAATAAAGCTGATTCTGATTCTGAAGTACTGGTATAGCAAGTTCTCTTCATCAACCACCCTACATATTGCATGGCGTCACTACAGGCTATAACAAACTTGTAGTCCTGCTTTCCTTAAATACAAAGTGCGAACATCTACTGTAGGACAGTTACTGGAAATCTATTTGGAGAACCAACCTCACAAAACCACAGCTGGGAGCTTCTTGGTGACCCACAGGAAGTCTAAGTATTTATAACATAAGAATAATAGCACATTTTATATTCATTTTACCTGAAATTGATCCTATTCAAACCCTAAAAAAGATAAAACCAGTCATTTTATGTATTAACAGTGTTTCAAACAGTCCCCACACAGAGACTACAACAGTGAATTGCTTCTACTCACTGTTAATGTCTGTCATTGTGTCCGCTTGTTAAGTGTGACGTAACATTCCACGTCCAAGCTCCCCCAGACCCAAATGGTGGAACCTGTCATCCTCTACACAATAACATCTTTGTTTTTAGCAATGCATCAGTGTGAGTAAAGCAAAATGACTAGGTTCTTAAGATTCAAATAGAGTAGTCAGTGTGGCTGTCTCCCCCCCGGTCACATCATAACCAAACTTTATTACACACAGTGGCAAATTAATTAATTCCAGTATATGCCGTATATCGAGTTATATGTCTAACTCATTTTTAATAGTTCCCTTTTACTGTTACTTTCATCAGTGTAAAATGTGTCAATGTAGTGTTTACATTAACTTCATGCCAACTAGCTAATGTTACTTTACAAGGCAGCAAAACAGCACACTTTTATAAGTTTTATTTCATTAATTTAGGAATACTGTGACCTATCTAATCAACTGTATCCATTTCTTTTTTTCTTCCTGTTGCAAGGAAAGTGGTAAAATGACAGATGACCCGTGATTTTTGATCTAATGATACAATGGGGAAAACAACACTGTGGCTTATGGATGAACTGGAGAATGAACTGGAAACAGAATGTTACATCTCCACTTGACAAGCAGATAGAGCTCCAGTGATGTACATAAACAATTACAAATAACAGAGAAACACACCGCAGCACTGGTTGACATGTTTCCTCATTAAGAAACATCAAACCATGATATATTTTTTTAAATGTTGCCCCAAAGGCTCAAAGCAACCATATTTTTTACAGTGTCTGAAGTAAGCAAGAGTCAAGGGCCCAAGATGTCTAGATACTCTTAACAAATATCAGGGTTTTGTGTTACCAAGTGTAGCAGTGTGTTTCACTGATGTCTTTTTACTTACAGTGGGGGCCTACGGCACAGACCAATAAACTAATCCAGGACTAACACACTGACAGAGTGTATAGGGAGTGCTGAAAATACTGTTAATATAGAAAATGGCAGACCTTTAAAATTGTCAGTTAAATGTAAACCAGGCAGTGAATGCCGGTTTAGCAGTGCAGCCCTGTTACCTTGTAGCCGCCACAGGTAAGACCAGCATTTCTTTTAGCAAGGACACATTTCATTCTCAGGAAGAATGAGCGCGCCATCTCATATTCTGCAGAAAAATAATTTAAAAAAAACATTATTTGTGCTGTATGATGAGTGCGTGTCATATCCAGTGCAGCATGCCTTGGTTGTTGATTACCTTGAACAGAGTGTGAATGATAAGGCTGGTGTGCTGTGAGGACAGCTGTCATTTCATCATGGTCTGCTGGGTGAATGTATTCATAAATGCTGTTTCCAGTCAACTCTACCTGTTGAAATGAACATTCAGCTCAGAACTGTGACACATCAGAACCAACACACTGGTACAGGTCACATTCAGTTTGTCAAACCAACCTGCGACAGGCCCAGATGGACTGATGCTGTTTCTGATATGTACATTATTTTCCCATCAGGCGCAACCACAAAAATGAAACCATCTAATGTCTGAAAGAAACAATAGCAAGAGTGTCATTATATTAGAAACCAGCCAAAGGCCAAAATAATTTGCCTTTCAATAACACCAGTGTTATCTTATGTTTTTATGAACAACGTGTTTTATTATTTTAACTGTCTTCAGTTTAACAGTACAGACCTACTATTATAACAGACAGATTGATTGCTAGAACAAAATCATGAAAAATAACAATTTGATGAAAGGCTGGAAAAAACAATTACATCAGACTTGTGCTTTAAAAGAGCAGGTGAACTAAACAGTTACCAATTTTTTAGATCTGTGAAGCTCCAGTCCTATTCTAGCTTGTCATTATGAAACCATTTTAGGCCCATTTGACTATTCTGTAGACCTGCTCGCCACCTTGTGCCTCTTCATGTGTAACTGACAATCCTGTGGCCCTGATCAGTTAATATAAAGCTCTGTTTGTCACCCTTCAGTATGTCTGTCTGACTGGAGCTAGCCAACCTTTGATTCTTTGTGGCCAGCCTGTAGCCCTGCAGCTCCGACTCCATTGTGTTGTTGCTGAAGTGAGAGGGGCTGCAGGACAGGCTGGGGCTCAGCGCGTGACCGTGAATGTGTTCAGCTCATTTTACTCTTAAAGCCCAAGAATGAAGGCAGCAGCAGGCAGTTGCTAAACTACACACACACACACACACACACACACAGTCTAGCTGACTAATAATAATAATAATAGGGTGAATTTGTTAACATGTTAAGTCATAACTGGTCATTCTAATAGACATTTTAGGGGCTTTATAAGAGACCACGTGTCTTTTAACGTGTGACTACTCATAAGGCAGTAGGCTACCTACCTGTAAGAGATGGGAGCCTAATTCCTGACTGACTCCCTCCAGAACACTGCTGCGACTCACATGACCCCAGGACTCCCCAAGGCCTGGCAAATAAATCACACAGACAGAGGAAACAATAAAAGCTTCATTTTCCTGTAAGCAGAAGTGAAACAAACCAGTTTTTAAAAACTGTTAACCAAAAGTGTGCATCATGATTCATTCACAATAGGGTCTCATCACTACAACTGAAGGGCTTTAATTAGAGTAATTGTAAGAACAAATACTGTTAGCCGTAATGTCTCTGTCTCATAAGCTACTTTTACAGCCTAGTTTCATTTAAGCAATTTTATTTATTAGCTACTATTTATTACTACTTTATCCTTCATTACTAAAAAATTCAACTGTAATTAAGTAGGCCTACAGCATTTAGCTGCTGCATTGACCATCACAAGCCTAAAATCAACTCAGTGCTGCTACACTATGTTAAGCTTAAGGTCTGCGGCCCACAGTTCTAAAAACACGTCAAAATCTAAAAATCTATAATAGCGAACTTTAATCGAATCTGGATCGTTGCAAAAATATTTTCACAAGGCCTTCACAACAGTGGTAAAAGTAACCAGGGAACCAGGCGCTGAACCCGAGTGCACAGAGCCAACAGGACTCTGTTTCCCCATTGAAATGCAAATGGGGCTCTGCAGAATAAACAGGCGGCAGCAGGGATCACATTCATATTGAGCTGATGTGGACTCAGCCCCTCAGACACCCACAAAGGATGGGGAACACAATCCACTTCATATCAAAGACAAATAAATATCAAGATAGAACATTACATTTTAAATACTTTTATTGTGGCAACAAACAGCAATGAGAACACTGATTTAATTAGGAGCCGTTTGGGTTCTGGGAAGAAAACAGCTAAAGAGCTTTTTTATAATTCCGCTGGACTCATACACACTTCCATTTGTCCTCAAAGACGGCCCCCCCAAAAAAACTAAACTAAAACAGGAAATAATTGTTTATTAATAGAGGCAAATAATGTCTTACCGCGTTCTTGTCTAGGGAAAAGTGAACAGGCCTGGTGAAATCTGGTACAAGGAGCTACAAAAATATCATAAGGAAACAGCCACAAACACGCCCGAGATGAGAGAAAGGTAAATGTGGAGCTCACAAACGCAATGTGCGTCACAGAAGCAAGAACTGAGTATAGATGTGCTGAGGCCGCTGATGCTCCAGCTCCGGGCTGCGGACCCATGTTCGCTGTCTGCTGGGCCTGGCGCACGGGCCAAAATACACGTAGCACGGAGCTAATGCGCGAATACAGTCAGGACTTTACTGTGAACATTGTCTGAAAACACCAAGTGAGTCATAGCTGCTGAAGTGGGCAGCTTTCCACATTACTTTATTGAATTTTTAGTCTTCATTAGATGTATTATCTCACTGTCTTTTACACTAACGGGCCTGTTATTATTATTATTACTTTTCAGAGCAGCAATTTCCAGTCCAACATTTTTCGTTTATTAACCTTTTAAAAGTCATGCCTGCTTGTGGCCAGTGTGACGTCAGCAAGGAATCCCTCATTTTCATTTCAACATTTAGAGACCTGAGAAGGTTTTGAGTGTTACTCGGGATGAAAAAAAACAAAAACAAAAACAAGAGAAATTAATATATACAATAAATAATTACGTAATTTTACATAATTACATAATTTGTGCAGCCTTATTTTTCCGTCTTTCCTCCTTTTCCTTCTTGTAACCCCTCAGATTTGTGTGTGCATGTATTCTATGTATGAGTCTGGGCATGTGTGTTTTTAAACTAATATGGAATAACCTCATTTACAATTCGCACCGCAATAAATCCATTTGGTGGGCATGTTTAAATGAATCGATTAAAATAAATCCCTGAACACGGTAAACACCTATAAGGCACGAATGTTCCGTTCATGGTAAATGATCTGTCACCCTGAGAAAAACCCCGCCAGGTCTGAGAGAAATCCTTCAGCGGATTCAGCACACAGTTCAGAAGTGGTTGAATTTCATTAACACATTACAACACACAGCAAGAAGACGAAGAAGAATCCTCATGTCTCCGGGAGAGTGCGAACAAAAGTGCAATGGCAGCACATTGGTCCACAGAACAATAATAGTAATAATAATAATAGTAATTATTATTATTATTATGTTCGCCGTGAGATGCGGTCGAAAGCTGAATTCAAAAGCTAGTGGGGTTTAATTTTCTACATTTCATGGTTTCCTGATCAACAAAACAGGCCTACTGCTTCTACACAGCTATGACTGGAGTCTGAAGGAGGTATAGGAATAAATGGGGGTCGTCATTTCATTTAGCAAACTGAATGTAGGCCGATATTAACAATACATTTCTTGCCAGGGCTTCGGGACCGAGATTTCAGCGGGATATTTGTGGTGATGTCAGATCATTTCACCCTGGGTGGACGACATGAGCTCAAAGGTCCCCTCACCCCAACTCTCTCTCTCTCTCTCTCTCTCTCTCTCTCACACACACACACACACACACATACAACGACAAAGCATTCTTTGGACACCCTAAAAGTGAAGCCCATGTTTAGCTCTGTTTCCGTCTGGGATGCGCGTCCTCTGCCTCCACGCTGTGGCTCGTGCTGGGGCGTACACGAGCCTTCAACACAGCACAGGTGACCGAGTGGCCTGCAAAGGGCCGAGGAGTGAGAGCCCGCAGTCTGCCCTTCAGTCCTAGTCAGAGCCTCACACGCGTGAAACAGCACGACGTCCAGCACATAGACCAGCGGTGTTACCTATAGGTGCCAGTCAGGCCTTGTACAGCCGTGACCTTACATAACATCATTATCTGGTGATTTTGGATTCTGGACTGTAGAAAATGCGAAATTAAATGAAATTAAACGTCTTTCCACAATATCCTGCGCTAGAAAATTCCCAGCTCATACTGCAGTTTAGAATGCTTTGATTCAAGAGGTTTCTTTCACCCTTCATTTTGCTTTATGGAATGTTTTTCAGTGATGTAAGTGACACAAGGGTCCATCTCAGGTTGTTTCTTCTGTCTGTCTGTCACTTCAGTTCACTTCAGTTCGATTCAAAGGGTTTTACTGGCATGCAACTTTCAATATCTCTCTCTCCCATCAAAGATATACACGAATCGTGCAGTGTGCGCTATCATTACCTTTTATGACATGACTGTGGTATTAGAATAGAAATGAGCAGTCTGCATTATTAAGCCCGCACGTTAAAGCCGGTACTGTAATGGGTCTTACTGCGCCCTGTGCAGTGGCTCAGCTCCTCAGTGCAGCACACGACTGTGTTCGCCGTTCTCTTGTGTTTTCCCCAGGTTCTTTCCACCTTCCACCACCAGCTTTACTGTTACAAGAGGTCCATATGCTGAGGGATCAGCCTTGCAGATCATACTAATATCTCCGGCTCTGTCGCAGTCACGCAGGAAGGCGCCTCATCACAGCTAATCTGCTGGCAGGGGCCGCCGGGGGCCCGGAGAGAAACCATATAGCTGCAAGCTGTGGACACGGACCGAGGGACACAAGAGAGTTCTGCTGCAGACTCCATGCCCTCGTTCACTCGGGCAGGAATTTCGCTGATCATATTAGAATTTGGACTAACAGAGCTGGAATCAGCTCGTTACACAAATGTGGGCCTGCACCCGCCATTTTCACCACCTGTGTGTTTTCTTTAAAGTAATGCTAAACAAGGGACATATATGGTGAAAATAAACTTGAGACATACGCCCGTTGTGACGTGCACATTTTAATACGCTATAATATATTTGTTCTTCCTCTAAATCTGTGATTAGCTCATTGAAAAGGCAACGTAACAAAGTTTTCGTTTATGAAAAAAACTGTTGAGCGTTTGTTGGCCACAAATAACCTATCCGGAAATTACATGTCCTAACAAAAATGGACAGCAGAAAATAAAAAGATCTATACTAAGAAAATATTCAATAGCCCAATAAGAACATAAAAATTACGAATATGCAACAAGAAAGAATGATTTGTATTTACAGTTAAACTATTATATATCAAATTTATTACAATTTACAGCTGGTACATTTGGTCGATTCTACCGTATTATTTATAATAGGCTAACCTACATCTTAACTTTATGTTCACGTGCTACTGTTTCCTCTCTTACCGTCAGGAAAGACTATTCTCATTTTCAGGTAGCTTGTTGTCAGCCGGATGATGGAAGCTTTGTCCAGCTGGGAGGTGATGGCGGAGGGCAGCGGCAACAGTTTGGCCAGTTCATAAAATTCACTATTTTCCTTTTCCCGTCGAGTCCGGGCAGCATTTTTCGATTTCTCCTTCATGTCGCCTCCTCTGTCTCTCCGACTGCTTTTCCACGGAGCCCGGCTGCGGTCAGTCACTGTCCAGGAGACTCATAGCGTTTTCATGCCTCCACAGGTGAAACAAGATTTTGCCTTCAACTCGGCCTAAAATCCACTGTTACACATTCCCATAGTATTTCCAGGTGGTCCGGTGGGTGCGACGAGTAGAACGCGGCTAATTCCCGGATTTCGGAGGATTAAAGAGGCGTTTCGCTCAGCCCATTGGAGGCCTCACCGCACTCTTGGATCCATCATACCTGGCGTCAAATGGAACTGTGCAACCCCTGGGGACATTAGGGCCTATGGGATGGACAGCATCAGATTGACTTTTATTTACAGAGTGTCTGTCTATAAAACACAGTATGGATACTTGATTTCCTCTCTCAACAGACACTGAGCGGCTGTATTTTTAAACCTCATTTAACTGTTGGCTTACCTCAACGCACTTTGCCCTTGTGACGCCTGCTGAGATCGACCGTGTCCAGAGAGGACCTCCAAAAAGCCCAGAAGGCGCACATCTCCCATCCTGGATGATTTTATGGATAGCAGCACATCCAAAGGCTCCTCGGCGCTGCAGACTCGAAGACCCGCCCACTTTGGCATCTCTGCTCCTATTGGACAATTCGATACCGTGCGCACAGCCCCACTGGCTGCTCCGTGTAGCGACGCGCCCGGCGGGGAGCGGAGATTGGCTGGGGAAAATGTTCACCTCTGGCTCAAGTTGGGGAGAGACCTGGGGCAGAGCCCTGCCGTCTCATGGGAGAAAACGGTTTGCAGAGCACTTTTAAAAGATGTCAGCTTAAAATGTATTGTCTCTCAACAAAAACACACATTTAGCTTCTCCTTTAATTCGCCACACATATTGCCTCATTAACCGCCACAACTCGCACCCAACAACATATGGTCTTCCACTTGTCTGCGTGGGAGCCAGTGGGTTTTAATATTCGGTACATACTTGTTGATTTTTACTAGCAGGATCTAACAATATGCCTCAAGGACACTCTATAACGTGATGATTGCTGTTCAGAACAGTCAGGGCTTTGAATGGAGTTTGGCACATTGCCCATTGTGCCCAAACTGCAGCCCCTCTCTGTGTCCCAGAGGCTTGTCTAACATGAGCACAAGACCTGAAGACGGGGTCCGACAATGGGCCTTCTCCAACACGGTGTTAAATCAATGCTGCTGGTGCTGATGCTTTATTAATGAATGCATCATGTGGAATGTGACGCCGAGCTCAGGTATCTATAGGGCATCCCTCTGCATCATCCATACCTAAAATTGCTTTTAAACTCGTTCACAATGCAAATGTGTAGGCCGAGAAGCTGTTCATGTGTCAGAGCCTCTCCACCGGAGGCTGGAATTTGGAAATTGACTCTGACTGAAGCATGACGAAGGGTTTATCATGATGTTCTGCACACAGGAGTATACAAAATTTCATTCTCAGTGTCTTGGTAATATTTTGTAAAACAGCTGTTACCAGTGCACAAAATATAGTTCATACTGCTTAGTGGTGAACTAAGTAGCCGATATCAGCAGAGCGTAAAAGAAAGGCGGCCGACAGGTGGACCAGCAGAGTGCTGCAGGCCACATGGCCACATGCATCTCACATTGTCACTTCCGACACGATTTGTTTCTGTGTGGTTATGGCTGATTTAGCACAGTGCTTGTATTCACATTTATTTCGTTTTTAAGTCGTTTAAGTGGATCTTTAAATGATAAATGATTAGAAAATCGAAATGCGTCTGTATAAGTCACCATATTAGCCTATAAGTGTTAAACGCACTATTCAGACTAAACTCTCGGCTGCTGTTCTTTTCCAAGTTCTAAAAGGGTAGGATGACGGTGGTGGAGCGGGCACACTCCACCGTGGTTTTCTCTCGGTCTCCGGTCCTGGAACCAGCGCGGCCGCTCGGAAATGGGAGCCAGCCTGAAAGTCACTTTCGGCTTTTCCCGTTTAGCGAATCGTAACACTGACGACTAGCATGTTGGCATTTGGCACGTGTTTTACGCCGGATGCCGTTCCTGACGCAACCTGTATTCGAACCCGAAGCGCAGCGCTGAGCCAGCCTGCGGTGAGAAAATCATTCAGGATGCTGGAGGCGCACCGAGTGGCTGATGCTGCTTTAACCTTCGCCTCAACTCCACATTTCTGGGTAATTACACCGCGTTTGTGGAAAATGCCATGATCTAAAATAGTCCATGTGATTAAGTCTCCCTGCAGACAAGACAGACTGAACCCAGATATGCAAACTGCTTATACTGTTAAAACTATCAAGCCGTCTCTCCTGGCATATACAGAAACACATTCTGAGAAAGGTTTCAGCAGAAACTTAAAAAAAA